GAGAGAGAGAAAATAGAGAGAGAGAGAGAGAAAATGAGAGAAAGAGAAATAGAGAGAGAGAGTAAAATAAGAGAGGAGAGAGAAAATAGAGGGAGAGAAGAAAATAGAAGAGAGAGAAGAAAAATAGAGGGAGAGAGAAAAATAGAAGGAGAGAGAGAGAAAATAGACGAGAGAGAGAAGAAAATAGAGAGGAGAGAAGAAAAAATACGACGAGAGGAGAGAGAGAAAATAGACGAGAGCAGAGAAATAGAGAAAGAGAGAAAAATAGAGAGGAGAGAAAATTAGAGAGAGAGAGAAAATAGAGAGAGAGAGAAAATAGAGAGAGAGAGAAAAATAGAGAGAGAGAGAAAACTTATTGAGAGGAGATGTAAGAAATAGAGTTGAGAGAGAAAATAGAGCAGAGAGAACGAGCCATCTCTCCAGACGACCTTGTTCATTAGCCGTTCCTTCTCAATGAGCAGTACCTTTACCTTTAATCTGGGTGCCTTTCCGTTAGCCCAGCTGTCGAGATGACCCGCGCAGTATATTACAGCACCGAGGTTGCGGCTTTGGTTCTTCTCTTGACTCTGTCTGTCTGGTTCGTGTCTGTCTATCTTGTCTTCTGTCTCTCTGTCTGTCTGTCTGCTTCTCTGCTGTGTCTTCTGTGTCTCTCTCTCTCTCTCTCTCTCTCTCTCTCTCTCTCTCTCTCTCTCTCTGTCTACTCTTCTCCTCTCTCTCTCAAATATATATAATATATATATATATATATTATAACATATATATATATATATGTTGTGATCTGGTAAACTGTGTGTTGTACATCCACATGTCGTGTGTGTGTGTTGTGTGTGTGTGTTGTCTGTCGTGTGTGTTGTATATGCATAGTATATAATTTAATTTATATATATATATATATAATAATATATATTATATATATAATTATATATATGTGTTGTGGTGTGTGTGTTGTGTGCGTCGTGTGTGTGTGTGTGTGTGTGTGTGTGTGTGTGTGTGTGTGTGCTATGTGTGTGTGTGCTGTGTGTGTGTGTGTGTGTGTGTGTGTAGTGTGTGTGTGTGTGTGTGTGTGTGTGTGTGTGTGTGTGGTGTGTGTTGTTGTGTTGTCTTGTGTGTGTTTGTAGCTAATTCGACATTTCTTCTTAATCATTAAGGCTGCATCAACAAATATTATTCATTTGGAACTAAAAAGGCCATATATAGCTCTATCATTTCCCAAGAATTTATCTGATCAGTGAAAATGAAATAGAGTAAAAACCGTTACGATTAACGGAAAGGAATCGGATTTGAAATAAATAGATTCTAGACCAAAGTGTGTTTGAAAGCGTTTTACAGCGGATATATTTTGGCATTTAAATGGACACTACTTAGCTGACATCCTTGTAAATGTGTATATGTGTACATGTGGGCACACGCAACATACACACACGCACACACACACACACAGACACACACACGCACACACGCACACACACACACACAACACACACACACACACACACACACACGCGCACACATACACACACACACAACACACACAAACACGCACACACACACACACACATATATAAAGAGA